TACAAGGCAGCTGGTGGATGGTGAACGCACTGGGCAGCTGGTGGATGGTGAACACACAGGGCAGCTGGTGGATGGTGAACACGCAGGGCAGCTGGCGGATGGTGAACACACAGGGCAGCTGGAGGATGGTGAACACACAGGGCAGCTGGCGGATGGTGAACAGACAGGGCAGCTGGCGGATGGTGAAGGTACAGGGCAGCTGGCGGATGGTGAACACACAGGGCAGCTGGTGGATGGTGAGGGTACAGGGCAGCTGGTGGATGGTGAACACACAGGGCAGCTGGCGGATGGTGAGGGTACATGGCAGCTGGCGGATGGTGAAGGTACAGGGCAGCTGGTGGATGGTGAACACACAGGGCAGCTGGTGGATGGTGAGGGTACAGGGCAGCTGGTGGATGGTGAACACACAGGGCAGCTGGCGGATGGTGAGGGTACAGGGCAGCTGGCGGATGGTGAAGGTACAGTGCAGTTGGTGGATGGTGAACACACAGGGCAGCTGGTGGATGGTGAACACACAGGGCAGCTGGCGGATGGTGAGGGTACAGGGCAGCTGGCGGATGGTGAACACACAAGGCAGCTGGTGGATGGTGAACACACAGGGCAGCTGGTGGATGGTGAACACACAGGGCAGCTGGAGGATGGTGAACACACAGGGCAGCTGGCGGATGGTGAACACACAGGACAGCTGGTGGATGGTGAACACACAAGGCAGGTGGAGGATGTTGAACACTCAGGACAGCTGGAGGATGGTGAACACACAGGACAGCTGGAGGATGGTGAACACACAGGGCAGCTGGCGGATGGTGAACATACAAGGCAGCTGGTGGATGGTGAACGCACTGGGCAGCTGGTGGATGGTGAACACACAGGGCAGCTGGTGGATGGTGAACACGCAGGGCAGCTGGCGGATGGTGAACACACAGGGCAGCTGGAGGATGGTGAACACACAAGGCAGCTGGCGGATGGTGAACACACAGGGCAGCTGGCGGATGGTGAAGTTACAGGGCAGCTGGCGGATGGTGAACACACAGGGCAGCTGGTGGATGGTGAGGGTACAGGGCAGCTGGTGGATGGTGAACACACAGGGCAGCTGGCGGATGGTGAGGGTACATGGCAGCTGGCGGATGGTGAAGGTACAGGGCAGCTGGTGGATGGTGAACACACAGGGCAGCTGGTGGATGGTGAGGGTACAGGGCAGCTGGTAGATGGTGAACACACAGGGCAGCTGGCGGATGGTGAGGGTACAGGGCAGCTGGCGGATGGTGAAGGTACAGGGCAGCTGGTGGATGGTGAACACACAGGGCAGCTGGTGGATGGTGAACACACAGGGCAGCTGGTGGATGGTGAACACACAGGGCAGCTGGCGGATGGTGAGGGTACAGGTCAGCTGGCGGATGGTGAACACACAGGGCAGCTGGTGGATGGTGAAGGTACAGGGCAGCTGGCGGATGGTGAACACACAGGGCAGCTGGTGGATGGTTAAGGTACAGGGCAGCTGGCGGATGGTGAACACACTAGGCAGCTGGTGGATGGTGAACACACAAGGCAGCTGGTGGATGGTGAACACACAAGGCAGCTGGTGGATGGTGAACACACAGGGCAGCTGGTGGATGGTGAACACACAGGACAGCTGGAGGATGGTGAACACACAGGACAACTGGAGGATGGTGAACACACAGGACAGCTGGCGGATGGTGAACACACAAGGCAGCTGGCGGATGGTGAACACACAATGCAGCTGGCGGATGGTGAACACACAAGGCAGCTGGTGGATGGTGAACACACAAGGCAGCTGGTGGATGGTGAACACACAGGACAGCTGGAGGATGGTGAACACACAGGACAACTGGAGGATGGTGAACACACAGGACAGCTGGCGGATGGTGAACACACAAGGCAGCTGGAGGATGGTGTACACACAAGGCAGCTGGAGGATGGTGAACACACAATGCAGCTGGCGGATGGTGAACACACAAGGCAGCTGGTGGATGGTGAACACACAAGGCAGCTGGAGGATGGTGAACACACATGGCAGCTGGTGGAGGGTGAACACACAATGCAGCTGGCGGATGGTGAACACACAAGGCAGCTGGTGGATGGTGAACACACAAGGCAGCTGGAGGATGGTGAACACACAGGGCAGCTGGCGGATGGTGAACACACAAGGCAGCTGGTGGATGGTGAACACACAGGGCAGCTGGCGGATGGTGAACACACAAGGCAGCTGGTGGATGGTGAACACACAGGGCAGCTGGCGGATGGTGAACACACACACACCAGTTAGGAGGCAGGGCTGTTACGGGGAAAGGAGTTACGAGGAAAGGCTGCGGGAAATGCACCTTACGACACTGAAAGACAGAAGAGTAAGGGGAGACATGATCACAACCTACAAAATCCTCAGAGGAATCGACCGAGTAAACAAGGATAAACTATTCAACACTGGTGGGACGCGAACAAGGGAACACAGGTGGAAACTGAGTACCCACATGAGCCACAGAGACGTTAGAAGGAACTTTTTCAGTGTCAGAGTAGTTAACGGATGGAATGCATTAGGCAGTGATGTGGTGGAGGCTGACTCCATACACAGTTTCAAGTGTAGATATGATAGAGCCCAGTAGGCTCAGGAATCTGTACACCAGTTGATTGACGGTTGAGAGGCGGGACCAAAGAGCCAAAGCTCAACCCCCGCAAGCACAAATAGGTGAGTACAAATAGGTGAGTACAAATAGGTGAGTACCAGCTGGTGGATGATCAACACACTTCAGCTGGTGGATGGTCAACACACACCAGCTGGTGGATGATCAACACACGCCAGCTGGTGGATGGTCAACACGCGCCAGCTGGTGGATGGTCAACACACACCAGCTGGTGGATGGTCAACACACGCCAGCTGGTGGATGGTCAACACACGCCAGCTGGTGGATGATCAACACACACCAGCTGGTGGATGATCAACACACACCAGCTGGTGGATGATCAACACACACCAGCTGGTGGATGATCAACGCACACCAGCTGGTGGATGATCAACACACACCAGCTGGTGGATGATCAACACACGCCAGCTGGTGGATGATCAACACACACCAGCTGGTGGATGGTCAACACACGCCAGCTGGTGGATGATCAACACACACCAGCTGGTGGATGGTCAACACACACCAGCTGGTGGATGGTCAACACACACCAGCTGGTGGATGATCAACACACACCAGCTGGTGGATGATCAACACACACCAGCTGGTGGATGATCAACACACACCAGCTGGTGGATGGTCAACACACACCAGCTGGTGGATGGTCAACACACACCAGCTGGTGGATGATCAACACACACACACACACCAGCTGGTGGATGATCAACACACACCAGCTGGTGGATGCTGGACGGCCAGACTAGAGAGCGCCATTACAACATTCCTGGGAAAACATTCTCCAGCAATATTAACACATCGACAATTAAAAGTAATTATGGTCCACATTATTCGATTTGTGTCGTAAAAATGTAATTCCCCTCGCACAATGTTGTCAGTAAGCCAAGAATTTCGTTTTGATGATTGTGTTCGAATCAGTTTGGATATTAATAAATGCTTTAGGAGAGAGCATGTAAACTCTTACACAAAGTTTTGTCAATGTTTTGTTATTCGTTACGTCAACAACTTGGGTTGGACGGTAGAGCGACGGTCTCGCTTCATGCAGGTCGGTACTCAATCCCCGACCGTCCATGTTGTTGGACACCATTTCTTTCCTCCGTCCCATCCCAAATCCTTATACTGACCCCTTCCAACTGTTTTGTTGTCGTAATGGTTGGGCGCTTTCCCTTTTTAATTCTTTTCCCTTCGTTATTTTCTTTATTTATTCGTTATTCTTCCTTCGTTATTAATTTAGGAAGAAATATTAAAATATGGACGCCACAATGTTTATTTTCAAGTTTTAACAGACCAGATGTATGTCACTAGAAGACGTGTTTCGTGGAAGTACACCTTAGCATCTTCTGAGGCTCAGGGAAAGATAAACCCCCGGGCAGAGAAAGCAGTATTCATGTTATATTCAGGTATGAAGAGCGGTTTGGTCGAGCCCCTTCGAGAGGAATATGTAAGAGTGTCCTGCATTCTTATTGGTGACGTGGAAGTCTTCTCGTGGTCATCAAGACAGGGGCATGGTTCTTGATAATTCCAAGAGATTGCTTGATGTGAGGTGTTTTAGCTACGCTTAATCTCAATTGTCGATGAGTCTCTTCATTATTTCAGGATAGCTCCAGTAGTGGTCCGGTTGAGGGTATAAATAATGTCATCTTTGACAGAGATTTGATGCATATATATTGCTAGGTGCATTGAAGGCAGGAAGGAATTATCAAGAGAAAGCTCCAAGCCATTACTATTATATAGCATTTGGAAGGGGGTCAGGATAAGGTTATCGGATGGGACGGGGAAAAGGAATGGTGCCCAACCACTTGAACGGTATGAAGCCTTCAGCAACTTGCTGAAGGCACCCTCCAGGGAGTCTGGAGAGACAGGAGAGTATGGACGGGACCAGGGCCGTCTGCATTTAAACACCTGCCGCTTACCCCAAATCCGTAGGACCTCCTCCAGGAGAGTGATATAGCGGTACAAGTGCACAAGATAATGGAAAGATCTGATCTCTACGAGGTTAACGTTTTTTTTTTCCAACAGGAAAACTTAGAAATTATTGCTCTGGTAAAAGCAATTTTAAAACAAGAATAAAATACCTAAAAGACAGGTTGACGTTTGTCCAACGAGCAGTGAGACTCAACGCTGTCCCTGAATACCTTGCTCTACAGGTTTGTTTCCCATTTTTTCAGCAGGTCTCCCAATCCCTTCTAAACATAGTGAACATGGAACAGGCCAGAGCGTCTTTGAGGAGTGTGTAACATACACACTCCTCAAAGCCTCACATGCGAAAGAAATACCCAAAATGGAGCTTATCGTAGTCCACATACAAATACGTGGTTGGGACCAGGAAAGAATAGGTACAACCTTATGGGAGGGTTTCACACGAAAGACATCTCCGAGACCAGGGACCCTCGAAAGACCATACGACGGAAGTCTGATGATGCGCTCAGAACAGACGTCAGGCAGGTATGAAAGTTTTTTCTCGAACCCTCAATAAGGTACACTGCAGAGCCTGACGACAGCAGTGGACAAAGCTCGAGGCCTGGAAGAAGAAGTGCAGCCACAGCCAAAACAACAGCGAGCGGCCCAGAAACCCTTAAGTTCACTACTCCTGTTGAACGATGACGACGATGGACCACTAGCCCCTATTGTAGGCACGCCTGTCCAACAACAACAACCACCCACAACCCCCTCAACCCTCCCAGAACAGACACAGGGACATACACGAACCGGAGGAGGAGCCCACAGAGACGGAACTTCCAACGACCACAGAGACGGAACTTCCAACGACCACAGAGACGGAACTTCCAACGACCACAGAGACGGAACTTCCAACGACCACAGAGACGGAACTTCCAACGACCACAGAGACGGAACTTCCAACGACCACAGAGACGGAACTTCCAACGACCACAGAGACGGAACTTCCAACGACCACAGAGACGGAACTTCCAACGACCACAGAGACGGAACTTCCAACGACCACAGAGACGGAACTTCCAACGAGACACCTCGGCGAAGAACAACAGGCATAGTCCCAGTATAGGGCCAGGTACGTGAAGGTCCCAGTATAGGGCCAGGTACGTGAAGGTCCCAGTATAGGGCCAGGTACGTGAAGGTCCCAGTATAGGGCCAGGTACGTGAAGGTCCCAGTATAGGGCCAGGTACGTGAAGGTCCCAGTATAGGGCCAGGTACGTGAAGGTCTCAGTATAGGGCCAGGAAAGTGAAGGTCCCAGTATAGGGCCAGGTGTCGGAAAATCCGACACCATTTAATAATCATACAGATAATAACTGTATTACCAACAAGTTACCCATAGAAAACGTAACTTGTAGTGGAATTACCGTCTAAAGAAAACGGGATATCATCACCACATACTATTATAATTCACCACCTATTATGGTGGGAATTATTCTTAAATACATTAGTCTTTGGACTTTACCATCATAAAACATCTTATATAAATTAACTTAATTATCAATATTAAAGTAGAGTAAATGTGACCCTTCTATCACTTTCTGAAATGTGGACAAAGTAGGCCAGGCGTCAGTGAGGAAGGAGGGCAGCCATTGTTGTGTCACCTCCGAGACGTGTGGAGCAAATTCGGCTCCTATCATTCTGGACAATGTCGGCCAGTAACGTCAATAGAATGGAGTGTTAAACAGCCATTGTTATACGAGACCAGAGGCTCACACGGGAGCAAATTCGGCTCCTGTTAATTTTACTTGGACGTAGTGTAATGGATACCAAAGGTGTACCATCTGTCAACACGCTGTCAACAAATCAAGTTAAGTGTTCTTTCCGAAACCCATTATTTATCATTAGTGGCCATTAATGTCATTATATAGGGTGACCCGGTTAGATCACATGGAAGCCTCAAACTAAAGGTAATTAAGCCAGGTCTTCATGTTCCATGTACTGTTTTCTCTGATATACTTGTCATATATAGGTATCTGGCTTCACAGCTAGCGCACTTTTGACAGGTCAAGACGAGGATGCAAGATTTGTGCACCAGTTACTGGGTGATATGGAAGCTACCTCAAAGAGGATAATTTGGTGTCTACACCCTAGTTATACCTGGTGGACTAACCTGCTGTACTATAAGATAAGGAACCTCTTTAATGTATGTAGTTATTTCTGTAGTTTGATTGGCTGCATATATATATTAATTTAATAACCCCCCCCCCTAATGTGTAGAGGATCGATTTGTGAGATTATGAGATTATTGCAGAAATACAGTCCACTTATCATTATACAAATTGCTATCGAAGTATATAAATTAACGTAAATATAAATTCATATAAATTAAATAAATATAAATCTCACAGGTCGGTTCCCACACCAGGAAAGTGAAAGTCCCAGTATAGGGCCAGGTACGTGAAGGTCCCAGTATAGGGCCAGGAAAGTGAAAGTCCCAGTATAGGGCCAGGAAAGTGAAAGTCCCAGTATAGGGCCAGGTACGTGAAGGTCCCAGTATAGGGCCAGGAAAGTGAAAGTCCCAGTATAGGGCCAGGTACGTGAAGGTCCCAGTATAGGGCCAGGTACGTGAAGGTCTCAGTATAGGGCCAGGAAAGTGAAGGACTCAGTATAGGGCCAGGAAAGTGAAGGTCCCAGTATAGGGCCAGGAAAGTGAAGGTCCCAGTATAGGGCCAGGAAAGTGAAGGTCCCAGTATAGGGCCAGGAAAGTGAAGGTCCCAGTATAGGGCCAGGAAAGTGAAGGTCCCAGTATAGGGCTAGGAAAGTGAAGGTCCCAGTATAGGGCCAGGAAAGTGAAGGTCCCAGTATAGGGCCAGGAAAGTGAAGGTCCCAGTATAGGGCCAGGAAAGTGAAGGTCCCAGTATAGGGCTAGGAAAGTGAAGGTCCCAGTATAGGGCCAGGAAAGTGAAGGTCCCAGTATAGGGCCAGGAAAGTGAAAGTCCCAGTATAGGGCCAGGTACGTGAAGGTCCCAGTATAGGGCCAGGAAAGTGAAAGTCCCAGTATAGGGCCAGGAAAGTGAAAGTCCCAGTATAGGGCCAGGTACGTGAAGGTCCCAGTATAGGGCCAGGAAAGTGAAAGTCCCAGTATAGGGCCAGGTACGTGAAGGTCCCAGTATAGGGCCAGGTACGTGAAGGTCTCAGTATAGGGCCAGGAAAGTGAAGGACTCAGTATAGGGCCAGGAAAGTGAAGGTCCCAGTATAGGGCCAGGAAAGTGAAGGTCCCAGTATAGGGCCAGGAAAGTGAAGGTCCCAGTATAGGGCCAGGAAAGTGAAGGTCCCAGTATAGGGCCAGGAAAGTGAAGGTCCCAGTATAGGGCTAGAAAAGTGAAGGTCCCAGTATAGGGCCAGGAAAGTGAAGGTCCCAGTATAGGGCCAGGAAAGTGAAGGTCCCAGTATAGGGCCAGGAAAGTGAAGGTCCCAGTTTAGGGCTAGGAAAGTGAAGGTCCCAGTATAGGGCCAGGAAAGTGAAGGTCCCAGTATAGGGCTAGGAAAGTGAAGGTCCCAGTATAGGGCCAGGAAAGTGAAGGTCCCAGTATAGGGCCAGGAAAGTGAAGGTCCCAGTATAGGGCCAGGAAAGTGAAGGTCCCAGTATAGGGCCAGGAAAGTGAAGGTCCCAGTATAGGGCCAGGAAAGTGAAGGTCCCAGTATAGGGCCAGGAAAGTGAAGGTCCCAGTATAGGGCCAGGAAAGTGAAGGACTCAGTATAGGGCCAGGAAAGTGAAGGTTTCAATATAGGGCCAGGAAAGTGAAGGTTTCAATATAGGGCCAGGAAAGTGAAGGTCCCAGTATAGGGCCAGGAAAGTGAAGGACTCAGTATAGGGCGAGGAAAGTGAAGGTTTCAATATAGGGCCAGGAAAGTGAAGGTTTCAATATAGGGCCAGGAAAGTGAAGGTCCCAGTATAGGGCCAGGAAAGTGAAGGTCCCAGTATACGGCCAGGAAAGTGAAGGTCCCAGTATAGGGCCAGGAAAGTGAAGGTCCCAGTATAGGGCTAGGAAAGTGAAGGTCCCAGTATAGGGCCAGGAAAGTGAAGGTCCCAGTATAGGGCCAGGAAAGTGAAGGTCCCAGTGTAGGGCCAGGAAAGTGAAGGTCCCAGTATAGGGCCAGGAAAGTGAAGGTCCCAGTATAGGGCCAGGAAAGTGAAGGTCCCAGTATAGGGCTAGGAAAGTGAAGGTCCCAGTATAGGGCCAGGAAAGTGAAGGTCCCAGTATAGGGCCAGGAAAGTGAAGGTCCCAGTATAGGGCCAGGAAAGTGAAGGTCCCAGTATAGGGCTAGGAAAGTGAAGGTCCCAGTATAGGGCCAGGAAAGTGAAGGTCCCAGTATAGGGCCAGGAAAGTGAAGGTCCCAGTATAGGGCCAGGAAAGTGAAGGCATTCGTTAGGATGTTCACAACACCTGGAGCTAAGTATTATATTGAGTTGTTCAGTACCATATGTGGAAGCTAACCATAAAAATCAAGGCGAAGAAAACCGGGAAAAGGACAAGAATCCATCCCTAACACAGGAAACATATCCATCCCCTAACACAGGAAACATATCCATCCCTAACACAGGAAACATATCCATCCGTAACACAGGAAACATATCCATCCCTAACACAGGAAACATATCCATCCCTAACACAGGAAACATATCCATCCCTAACACAGGAAACATATCCATCCCCTAACACAGGAAACATATCCATAGGGGAAAGTTACAAATGCAGTCGAAGCATCTTTAGGAAGCATTAGTACACTGTGAGTGTGTTGAGAGCCCTTGAAGGAATATCCAACTAAAATATTAAAAGCCACTAAGACTTGGAACCTTGGGGCCAAAACATGTAACAACCCACAAGATCGTGTCACTCATTTAGGCAAATTAAACAACTACGTAATACACGACAGTTTGTTCAACTGCGTAACCTTTGTTATATTTGATTAAAAAATATAAAAATATTTCATCACCATTTTTTTAATATCAATGTTTAATGGTTAAAAAAACACCTACAACTCCTCTTCTTTAACTATGTTTCTCTCGAAGATTAACACAAGTGTACAAACTTTATACAGATAAGTAAATAAGAATATCTAAGTGTCTCAAATATGTATGAAAGAAGTGCCAATTTATAACACAAAACCGTATAAAATTTCGTTCATAATGTGGAAAAAATATAACAAAATCCACAAAATATTTGACATCCAGGTTCCCTTTATGAAACACGTTACCCAGAGGACACTGTATTTGAGCATGGCGTTGGTTCGACGTTAAATTAACATTATCAACGTTAATTCCATGTTGAATCATCGTTGCTGACGTTGATTTGGCGTCCAAATGGCGTCGCTCTTGGATAATGTGTCCCACTTGGAAGTAATCCAATGAAAATATTAATGTACACGTGTGTCAGGTGCGTGTGGACAGGTATATCTACCAAGAAACTAAATATTTGATGGTGTTGATCGTGTCCTAGTGAGTGATTGTAGTGTTTCAGTGAAATTGTTCCGTTTGTTTGTCGTGTCCAAACATGAAGCTGAAGCGATCAACCAGTCTTCGTATTCATATATGAATACGACTGAATTCTATTTTTGGTGTTTCGTTTTTTTCTTCCAAGTAATTGTTCGTGTCTGTATGTGCATGCGTGTGTATGTTTACTCCCGCCTCGACAAACTCGGGTTCAGCAGGTTGGTTGGTGGAAATCAATTTTTTTCACCTGTTACAGTGACGTCATACAAACAGCTGTTTTATGTAAACACTGAAGATTAGGGAATTAAGGGCCACTGCCTCATCACTATTTTTACAGCGGCTCATGTAAACGATGAATTATGTCGGTGGTCCAGTTATTGATGACAACAATCCTTTATCATCAGAATATGTAGCGAACTCTGTAAGGAACGTAAGCTGGATGTTTCAAGCAACACAGGTGATTTTTGATGAAAATGAGCACTGTTTTGCTTCACAACTCATTCCCTGAACTAATACGTCCCTGAAAAGAGCAAGAACATGATGCAGTCCGCTCACCCATACATATAGCGTCCCACCACAGCCAAGTTAGTCACGACCTCTTACGACTCTTGCTATGTTCGCG